TTTATTGAAAACACTGACAAAACATAATCACATCTTGCTTTCATTTTATATTAACTTTCTGTATACCCAGGACACAAAGATCCAGAATAGCTGCACTAGATACAATTAAGAGTATTTCCATCATGAAAACACAAAGGTGCAAATATCCAAAGACAAACTAAACAAGTGCAAATGAATGAAAGTGCAAAAAAGCTTCAGTTTCATGAAAATGCTTCTTCGGAAAACACCATCTTTGCCCTTTAAAGAAGATACTCCCTAAAATAATAGGCATTTTTGGCAGCATTTGTCACAGACTGACTGTAGCTAAACAGATTTTTCCTGTTTCTTCACATTTAGGATAATAGTAGCTTCAAGGAATCATGAGAGAGAATGAGGAAAAATCTATCAAGAGTTTTGGAAAGCTTCATTATCTTTCATTGCACTCAAGTCCCAAACAAACCCTAAATTATAGATCTGCTTTGTGTTTTGAGTCTGAACTGTTGCATTTCAAAAGTGCTTGAAATTTGGGTAGAACCTGGATTTGAGGATCAAATTACATGTTATGGTGAACAGTTTGCAATTTAAAGATACCATTTTATTTTACTTCATAGTAAGCACACATAGTAGGTGCCCCTAATGGCCCAAGGATAACATTTTCCCCACCCTTTGCTTAAGAATTTTAAAAAGATGAGAGCATTTTGATATTCATACTAAATGTTTAACATGAGTATTCTGACCAAGAGATAGATACCAGATCTCCTAAGAATCTCCTTAAAAAAGTCTATGGATTAATCTAGATCCAGAAATTAGATCTAACACTTTTTTTTTTGCTGAGGTGCTTGTGCAAATATTTATCATTACACATGATTATCCACATCTATGTATCTAATTTTCAGTGTGCTTTGTTTCATGATTAGACATAAGAAAATGAACACGGTGTTCAATTACAAGTTTAACAATCCTGTATCAGTGAGGAAATCCATAATTGGGTGCCTTCAAAACACTTCCAATTTATGGCAACCCTAAAGTGAACCTATCACGGGAGTTTTCTTGGCAGGAGTGGTTCAGACGCGGATTTCCCTTGCCTTCCTCTGAGGCTGGGAGAATGTGACTTGCACAAGGTCACCCAGCAGGTTTCCATGGCTGAGCAGGGATTGAATCCTGATCTCCAGGTCATAATCCAATACTCAAATCACTACATCATAATGGCTCTCAAGAAATCCATTGCAGGAAAGAAAAAAGGTTTAATCTTGAGTTATACACATGCCCTTTGATATCTAGTTTGGTTTTCAGGCAAGCAGTACAAAGGTAGATCTAGGGCAGGTCTGCACAACCTGTGGCCCTCCAGGTGTTTGGGCCTCCAACACCCAGAAGCCCTAGTCAAGTGTTCCAATACTCAGGAATTCTGTAAGATGAAGTCCAAAACACCTGGAGGGCTGCAAGCTGTGCGGATCTGATCTAGGATTTTTTCACATGATTAGTCTTTAGGCAATAAATGCAAGTTTCTCACAATCTAGCCGTCTTTCAAGGCCACGTTTCAGATATGAAATTTTCTGATTATTTGAAAGAAAATACGTTTTAGCTGAGGAAACATTTTTTCCTCCTGATTCATGCACAATTAGACACACGTGCACAGAAGCAAAGTGCTTGCTTATACACAATGGGACAAAAAAATCTGCACCAGCAATATTTGTTGCTCTGGCATACTAGTCCTACCTGGCATACATAGACCTAACCAGCTGACTCAGGGAGGAAAACAAAAAACTTGTAGTCTTGTACTATTCCTGAATGGCAGACTAGTTGTTTCACATAGCTGGATTGGAAAACTGCAAAGAACAGAACTACATGATTGTCTAGGGCATGGACTACAGGTTGTTGTTGACAGACCTGCATAACAGTAACAACTTTTCCCCACATCTACATCCAAATGTTTTTACTATCCTGGACATTGTTTAGCTGCTATACTCCTACATCACTAAACTCCCACACTGTCCATCTCTGATACCATCAAATATAGTTCACTGTCCTTTCTGATTTCAGTGGGAATGAGCAGATATCAGTCAATTGCAGCCAATTCATATCAGTATTATTTCCCCATGTTTGTTTTGATATGGATGCCAATGCAGTTGATTTTGGTTATTTCCAGGTGACTGCAGGGACAGTTTTGATAAGAGCCATTCCCATCAATTCCTAGTAAGAACAAGCATATGGGAGCCAAATCTCTCTTGAAGAGATCAACAGTAACTATACAGAGAACAAGAAAAAGTGCCCTTGTGAATTCTTTTCATTTTTTTACATTAACCAACAGGGAGACTATTCCCAGGTTCTTGAGGTTGGAATCTGGCAGATTGTCTTGCTGGTCTTAGAATATATTACTTCTAATGACTATCTTCATAGTAGCTATGGAGCTTTGGGACATCAGGCTAATGGTGAGTTGTTTTAAGGCATTTTAGCTGCCATTGGCTCTCCATCAAAAAGGAGCTGTTAGTAAGATGCTTGAGACAATAATCTTCTAGGGTTCCTTGGTTGGCATTAATGGTGCCAGAGGGGAAATGGCTTATTTGGAGTGAAGTTCTGAAAATCAACTTAGTACTTCGGTGATTCTGTGGGACTGGTGAGCCATATAAGCCAGTATGAGCCATTTAGGCTGGCATGAATTCTCCAGGCCCTCAAGCAAAAATATTTATCAGCCCTGTCACTGCAGATGGCAAAGGTTTTCAAGGGAATATCTGATATGTAGAATGCGGTCTTCTTTCTTTTCTCCTGATATTAACCAAATTCCAGAACCAACACAACCCAAAAACATTGGTAAAAATAAGAAATACAAGAAAAGGGATTTTAACTTTAACTTTTTTACAGACCCACATGCACATTTTGGATTTAAATTTGGTTTCTTTCTTTTAAAGATTTCAACCAGAGTTGCTTAAAATTTTAGGTATTTTCATGTTATTTTTTTCTCCCTTCACCTGAAAAATATATCTCACATAAATATTTGCATTTTACATTCACTTCATATAAGGATAACTGTATTTTGGAAGAATTCAGGGCAACTAGAGTAAAGTACTAAGTAGACTCCATTCCTGTTGTAAATCCAACTCAGCTTCTCAATAGCTCTTGAAGCTCTACTCAAGGGAGGAACAGAATTAGCCTAAATAAATAAGTTGGTAAATAAATAACCTTAACATTCACAAAAATGAAAGGGAAAAGAGATGCAGACTACCATTTAGAGCAAATTATGTTAAACCGAAAGGTTAATATAACAACATTTGGCACTGAGGACCTCAAGTGGCCAGCTGCTACAATTCAGTGTAAAGGACCTAAGAGAAACTTAACTTTACCTCAACAAAACAATGAAGTTCAACATCTTTGAAGAATAAGAGAGGCAGACCTACTCCAGTCAGTCTCACCGAAACAAACAAAAAGCAATTGGTACAAGGGAAGTCATTTTCTGTGACTACAGTTCCAGTATAACTATCCTACTGAATTATATGACCTCAGATGAATGACCTCAACTGTAAAAAGTACTACTTGTTTCTTTCAAAAATGGGCCTTTACGACACCCATTCATCTCTGGTTATGAATATGTTCTGAAACAGCTGTCCTGCTTTTCTTATTTGAATTCATCATTTTCAGCAACTCATCCACAATGACATTTCAACCACCTTCAACACCAGGAAAAATGCATTCCTACTTAGAGGAGGCTAAAATGAATTTTAATTTAAAAAACTAAAGAGTATGTCTTTGTTATTTAAAATTTGTTTCTTGCAAATATGCTGACAGATCTTATATGACCAGTCAAGGAGGACAATGGGCTTGGTGGAAAGATGCGCTAAAACAGTTTTCTTCTTCTTAAAGCCCACATTCTGTGGCAAGATTAATCTATATTACAGAACAGATTATTTTCCTCTTTCATGCTGCTTGGCTAAAAAAACACTTCTTTGGATAAAGGGACAGTTTGGCACCATGAACTAGCTGCATCTCTTGGAAGGACTTGATCACAAGTGCAAAATGTTGTACTTCCTCAAAAGTAAACATACAATGATGATCAAGAAAACATTGAATTCAGGGCAAAACATGCTTTAAAAATGCACCACGACAGAAAGAAAGTAAAATATAAGTTTCTCTTAAATAGCAAGCAGTTAAACACTGAAAAGGGAAAGCCAAATGTCACTGCATTTGCATACACCAGAGTCAAAATGCTGCATTTCCACAGGAAGCTTTGCATGAATTTGACCCAAACATAAAAACTGGACGTCACAGACCATGTTATTTATATGGGACACAATGCTGGTATACAAATGAATAAGAAACTCTGCCCCTGCCCCTGCCCCTTCAGAGACTTGAAGATGAAGTAAAAAAAATTATGGCAAAATAAAGGAATTCCATATGTGGAAAATGATATGTAAAATACTTGTTTAACCAAGAGTTGTATTTGGATCAAAGAAATTAGGTCTAAATCCCTGCTTGGCCATGGAAGTGTTCACCTCATTGCTATCCTCTGTATAATGATTATTGTGAGATGAGATATCATTATAGAAGGACATCAGGAAGAACAGATCCAGAAACAAAATCCCAACACTACTGAAATTAGACAAGATTGTCCAACTCAACAGGATCATTCCCAAGGTATTTTGGCATCTGAGGTGGAACACTGATATGGCTCCTCCACCTTCATTCTCAAAGGAGAGAGACAAGAGTAAATCAGTTTAAAGAACACTTTTTGCTTTAACGATTTCACGATTGCTACCTGAAACCACCACCCCCTAACATTGCCAAATTAGAGAACTGGATTTGAAATTCAACCTTCCTTTCCGTCCATATGGCCATGGTGCAGCTAAAGTGGCTCAGCAAAACATCCTGTGCCGATACATCAATATTCAATGTCAAGACAACATAGAGGAAAAAACCCTGTGTAGCCAATAGCAGAACTCTTAATGACTCAAAAGCCAAGTATCACACCATATAATTTGTATTCATGCAGTTTAGAACAAACACACAATCATCTGTCTCTTTTTTTTGAAGAAGAACAGTTTCTAAATTATGTGTTCAAGGGACAATGTCAAGTAGCTGAATGTAAACATTTGGTACACACTGAATAAATCAGGTTGACTGGAGAAGTGAGCATTCAAATCTGAATAGAGAATCTGAGAATTGCTGCATCCCACAAAATCTTTTTCCAAATGATAACATCATCTGAAAGTCCAACAGGCTGTATGAAGTTAGTCAGCTCTTCCCAACATCAGGGCTTCCTTCTGTAAAGGGAAGGAATGCTTTTACTTGATATGAAGTAGCAGTCCTGTTTGTTAGCTTGTTTTTTGTGAAGTTTCAATCTATTTTTTATATATGTATATATTTGGTGCACTCTAGGGAAAAATGCACCATGCAAATCAGAAGGACTGAACAGAGGTTAAAGCAAGAAATAATATTACTTTGATCCATTCATCTTCCATGACTAACATGGTAATATTGTGAGTCTACAAATTGTGAGCACCATAGCAGCAATGGATCCAAAATGGTTAAAAGTGGGTTATATCTACACTGTTGTTAGTCCAATAGCTTGCCTTGAAAGGAACAAATCCCCAGATATAGATAATCTGCCTTCTATGAAGTCCATGGCCTAATCCATATTAGTTCGCAATTTATCTTTTCCCTGAAACATCAGAGTTCAGAATTGTTTCCAAATACAGGATGTTGTCTGGAAATAGAGGAACTGGATATATGTACCAGTGGTCAATATATAGATATTTGCCTTCTGCATGTTATCATGTAAACTGAGGCACACAATAAAGTAAGAATGCACAGGCAGTCACAACTGAAGGGGTAAACCAAAGCGGTTTAAATCCAACAGCAACCCCAGTTTCAAACCCATGCTATGTGCCTTTAAAACCATCAGGAATACTTCCTGGCAGGTTTTTGCAGGACCAGACAGACCAATGCCAGTGTTCCACTGTTAAACATGGCCAGGGCAGTGTTCAGAAAGGCTGGTAAAAGATTAGAGGAAAACTGACAAGAGATGATTTTGGTACTAAACAAGGATGAAGACTCAAAGAGAGAGCAAAATGGCAGGACTTCCTGCAGAAGTCAGGAAGGTCTCCAGTTGGCTGAGACAAGAGATAAGACAAGGGAGTCTGGCATCTTCCTTGTGGAGGAAAGTGAAATGCTGCTGAGGTGTCTCACTTTAAGGTGTCATCGGCATTTTTGAACATGAGGATGGCATTGTAGATTTTAAGTGCTGGACCGAGTTTGACACTCATAATCTTCACAATATCAGTCTGAGTTAGCAAAAGAAATGCCTCACCATCAATCATCTGTGGAAAAAGAGAAATTTTGAATATGTCAGTTTGTTTCTCATTCATATTTATGGGTCACCCACAAAGCAAGCTATCTCCATTCAATATTTATTCTAGCAAATAAATAAAATACAACTCTTAAAACAGTGTATAAAATCTCAGCTTCAAACTAACATTTGGAGGCATCAGCCCACTCTGGTCCATTTAGCCTGATCAACAGCTAAATGTTCTGGAATACGAAGGCAGTACAATATTGATATCCACGCTTCAAAAGTTGAAACTGGAATATTCTGGGTAAAATAGACCCGTATTTCCAAAAACTTAGCAAGCTATGGCTGTTTGTTGAAATATTGCACCAAGAATAGATGTGACCCAGAAATCAATAAAGAGTTCCTATATGTATTCCAACTAGTGAAAATGAAGGGTGACTGACATACTGCTTGCCTTGAACCATTCTCCTTAAATCAGAATAAATTATTTCTCTTCAAATCTGGGAACTTTTCAGTTGCAGAGAAGTGTATAAGCATACTTTGACTAGTATTTACTGCCACCAATATTTTAAACCACAGTGGTAGCTGGTACCTCTAGTTTACATGCAAGATGAAATACCATCCAAACCATCAACAAGGTTTTATTAAAGAAATTACTATTTTACATAAGAGTGTTAAAGGTAAGAGTCTTCCACCTGATTACACATTTTGACTGCCTTGGAGGAGAAAGACTCTTATTGCTATACAACTTGCAAATACTTATCTTTTCAACCCCAAAATGCACAAAATAAAGTAAGCCAAACTTCAATTTCTATTCAGTAATTTCTATCTGTCACTTAAATCAAGAGAGGAACACTCTGGTGAATTCAACTGTTTGTAAAACATGTTCAAGGTCCTGCATGTTTCCAAGTGAAAATATGGAATACTTGACAAGCACTTTCAATTTGTTCCAATCATACCATACTATTCCCATGCTCTGTGACTTCTTTTGCTGCGTGGTAGGAGAAAACAAAAAGAAAATTATGTATTGAACAGGTTGAAGTAGTTATAAGCCATAACTGATGCATAATTTTCTTTCTATTCTCTCTCACCGCCCAGTTAAAAAAAAACACAGGACATGCGAACAGTATGGTATGGCTGACACAAGCTGAAAATATTTGGTACTTGTGAAATATTCTGTCATTTTCCTTGATTCAATTATCATCAGTACTGGTTTCTAAAAAAGCCAGAGCATTAAAAGTCTATTATAATTACTTTCCCAACCAAGTTTTTCAAGTAAAACAAACACACCCATCCAGCATGCCCAAAATATCTGGAGAACATCAAGTTTGAGAAGGTTGTGATCATGCATAAGCATTCTTCCAGCCCATTTCCACTCCATGAGATTATGACCCATGTCCTTACCTCATCTTTGAAGAGTTTTGCTTGGTCCTCACAACCCGTCAATGTTTGTACAAAGTTAAACACCTTTATAAAAGAAAAATGGATTAGGAAAAGAAGCAGGATATAAAGGTATAGTAATCTTCAGGGGAGAAATGGAAGATGAAGGAAAGGTAGGCAATTATCTTCCATATTTTTCCCATGACACATAGCTTTTGTCTCACAGCCCATGTTCATGGACATTTTAAAAAGTGCTAAATGTCCTCCTGGAGGTGCTAAAATTATGCCACTAGTATCACTATTAGATGCTGGACAAGAAATGATATCTAAAAACACAATATTAAAATTCGGCTATACTAAAAGCATCCACCTTGCATTCTAAAGTGAAGTTAGATAAGGCAAGGAACTGATAATAACTGTGTCCTGTAAAAGGATATAATGAGCAGATAGTTTTGGAAATATATCTGGTTGACCAAAAACTTTCTCAGATGCTGTGTGAATGACATTTTACAGACATTTTCAAGATGTGCTATGATTAAAAACATTATACTGTCCTTTACAAGCTCACAGCAGAATTACTGTCAGCTGGACATCTCTTGCGGTCTGGTATGGACAAATGAAAAGTACCTAAATGTCAATGAGTCCACTTACATTCCAAAAGTTGTGTAACTACAGAAACCTGGTGAGGCAGAAGTGAAACAGGGGGATGGCTGAGTTTGTTTGGCTTATTCTTATTGCTTTTACATATTCTTACCTCGTCAGTGGTCCATTTGGCCACAGTGGTTGCTGTGATCCCAGCCACACCTGGCAGGAGCTTACAGTGCTGTTCCCAACAGAGAGACAAGGAACGGTCTGGGTGTGCTGACAAAGCTGACATGAAGAGGGACTGGTGCATGTTGTCTGAAGAAATGGCTGACAACAGCATTAAAAATAAATCAGGTTTGATTAMAAAAAAGAAAAAAAATACRACTTGCAGTAGTTCTGAAACTTTATTCRCCCAGTTTCCAGGATTTCTGACCACTGGCCAAGTTMGCTGGGATTCTTGCAAGTCCAAAGATCAGGAAAGTCAAAGGRTGAGAAGCATTGATCTGAATAATGGGCAAAGCTAAGAAGAGACTCATAGATTTACACAGGTTTGTGAAAATTAGAACCCCCCCCCCCCCTCTGCAGCTAAAAGAAGGGATTCAAAAAATGTGTTTAAAATTAAAAGGCTGCTGCACAAATAGTTAGGAAGAGATGGCTTTAGGCGTTAAGCACAGGGAACTGGGAACAAGATTTTTTTAATTTACTGCCGTGCTGAATTTGTTCTTCTGGAACCTTTTTCCTCTTATGGTCTAGTTTTGAACTACAATATTTATACTATGCTCTATATAGTTTTCTAATCTAACTTCCAAATTACTCTTAAAGGACCCTCCTTTTTGGGCATATGAGAAAAATGGAGCCAGTGATGGTATATACTTACTCTGGAAATCTTCCTGCTGGATTTTTCGATATTTTGGAGGCCGTCCTCTAGAGAAACAAAATTATCTAACTTCAAACTGTGTTTTAAGATAGGGGATTATAGTAGTCCATATTAACTGACCCCCTTGGTTCATACATGATGGATAAATGGGAGGGAATAATGTGAAGTAAGAAGCAAGAAAAACAGCTTCAGAGGGAAAAGGCTAAACATACAAACACAGAAAAACATATGCAGATATTCAAGTTATAAGGTTCCTAGCAAGTTGAAACCAGCAGTCCTGCTCTACAGAAGAAAAAACAAAGGCCTAACCTTCACAAAGCAGCGACACAGCAAACTAAAGAAAAGGTTCGGCTTGTGTGTTACAGAATGTTACAATGACATTTCTCAATGCAATTATCCAGAACTACATGCTGTTCCTTACCTTCCATGGTGTCGGGATTTCTTCCGCTGAGAGAAGCCAATGAGACTTCTCTTTCGAATAGAGTTTTCTGTATCTGAGAATTCAGCCTTCACTCTTCCCTGGTTCTTCTCTGCAAGAGGACATCCTGAGATGCAGTAGTGAGCTGTAAACCTTCCCGTTACATGACCAGAGCCATCACAACCAGGTGTTGGGCATTTTCTGGAGAACAGGGATCAGAAAAGAGTTCATTGCTCTTCATGGTTGTCAACAATCTCACTTGTTTGAAAACCCCACAAAAATAATGACTGAGCCAAAAACATATTTACTGTATCTTGACAGGTACTTGATGATCCCACCCATTTTTCTGGTCTGCAATAATTAGAAACCAATGTCCCAGTGAGCTTCATATATGGTAGTTGTGTTCACCTTGGCAAAACATGTATTGTGCAACCTAACAACAGTAAATTTGATACCACATATTCCACCCAAGGCTACAGAAGTTGTTCCTCAGCTACTGTCCATGGGATCCTAGATGCCCTTGCATTTCATGGTGAGAACCTACCTGTGAAAGCTGTATTTCGAGCTCTTGGTGGGAGGGAGGGTCTTGCAGGCCAATGTTGGGCAGCTCCCATTGGCAGAAGAAACTGGTTCCTTTGGTCCTACATAAGAGGAGAAACATTATGTGGATTATCTCAGAGTTCATTCAGTTTCCAGGACAATTCTCTATACAGGAACTTCCTGCTGTCTAAGCCAGTACTCATTTTTAATCCTTGAAACACAACAACCCTGAATCTTATTGTCGTTTTCCCACACCTCCCAAATCTATCACATAATCATTTTTCAAGTCACTGACAATAAACTGAACTAATTGCAAATGCTGAGGGTAAAATTAGGGTTGTTCTTTTTAATCATTTTGAAAGGTCCTTATTGATCTTCTGTGGTAAGGATTTCTACAGACTTTGTATAATCAATTCTAATGCTATGAAGAATGAGAGCATTACATTTTACATAAATAAATCTAGATGACGTAATCTTTTTAAAAAGATTTTGTTTCTTCACTTACAATCATTTGCTTTCACCGTGTAGGCAATAGCAGCTCTTTAATGTCAAGCTAGGAATCCACTGGGTGACCTTAAACAACATTCATTCAGCCTCAAACGAAGGCAAACACAAATGCCTATGAACATATTTTGCCAGGAATGTCACCAGAAGTTGGAAATGACTTAAACACAAAATAACAAAGAGAAATATCTGGCCTTGTGTTTCAGAACCTGTACAAAAGATGTCATAAATAAACAAATAATAATAATGAAAAGTATGGATCACATTCTAATTTATAATGTGACTGCCTTTTCAACTCTTCTATTAACATATCTGTGTACCTGAGTTAAAACAAGCTGTATTCCCATATATAAGAACGGTACTTACTGAGCGGAGGTTGTAATGGATGTCCAGTTTTTGAACACCATCCTGCAGGGTGAATATCTGGGTGATCTGAGTCAATCCAGAAATCATACATATGGCTCCAGCCATCAAAGTGGATCTATGGATAAAAATCAGTATGTTGCATAGTGTACACTTTAAATTCTACAGGTTAAAAACAGGGGCTAATCTGTGACTCCACTAGTGGGCAGAAAGCATATCTAATTATGTGTGAGTTCTATTGCAATCATATCTCTTCCTTTCAAGCTTACCATAAGCACTAGGCATTGTCCATAGAATTTTAAATTTTTCTTTGTAACAGTAAGGTTAGTAATGTGCTCTGAAACCATCTTCTTGAAATGCTGACTTATATACTCAGTACCAAATGTGGTGCCTTCTTGTCACCATCTTGGATGATAGTGAACTATTGGTGGAGCCACTACTGGCACATGGGCAGGGAGAGTACATTATTTATTCAATTTATTTCATGTATGTCACCTTTTTCCCAGAGTGTGAACCAAGATGGTTAACAAAAGAATCAGCTAACTCCCAGCCATAAAATTGTAAACACTCATTCTGTAAAGGCCTTATGAGACCTCCCAAATTAGGATCACGAACCACCAATAAATGGGAGACATTCTGAATTGTGTGAGCATGCTTTTACTCTCCTAGTCTGTTTCACTGACCACGAGGAGAACAAAATGCTGGATTAGATAGACCCTTAGTTGGATCCTGAATGGCTCATGTTCTTAACTGGCTGTCTCCCAGATAACTTTCTGTAAACATTTACTATGTGAGGGGAACACAAAAATGGGGAAGCAAGGTGGGGATGATTTAACATCATGGCTTAAAGCCCCAAGTAGGGGAGAAACCCACCTTTATTCTATAATCTTCTACATCTTCTACACTAGCTACTCGGATCAGAGTGGGAGTCCTTCGGTCCACTGCCTCCAACCTCATATTGATCAGAAAGCCATGGGGTTGTCTCTGGAATTTGGAGAAAGAAGAACAAATCGAATGAATCGCACCAAATATTGCCAATGATTTCTCCCCCCGCCACCACACCTCACCCCACTTGTTCATTCTGTACCTAAAGAAAGGATTTCCACAGTTTGCTTCATATTTATATGTCCAGTGCTTTCCATTAGGTGACCAGATTTACTTTTGTAAACCATAAATACCAAGGCTTAAGAGTATAATGATTGCACACTACTAAAAAGAAATATTAACTCTGAAAAGTAATTAACAGAATGGAGGCATTTTTGTCAGAATTTACTTGGGCTCAAATTCTGACAACTTCTGCATGCCCCTTAACCTTCCACGACATCTCATGAATCCATCTACTCTTGCATAGTAAAGTCTAAAGAAAAAGGTGACTCACTCACCACTTTAAAAGCCCATTTTGGCACAGCTGAAGCACCTGTTTCCTCTAAATATTTTTCCCAGCTGAAGTTCTCAGGATCAGGGTAGTCTGGAAATAAAAGAATCTGCCAGATGACAAGCTTTTGCTGGAGAAGCCTCAGAATATTTTATCAGTTGCAATATGCTCTTAGCTAGGGATGCGCATATCTACCAAGCCTATTTTCACAGATGTTCTTCTTTTCCTACTTTCTCATTCCACCAGAATCCACTTTTGTAGTTTTGATGCAATTTTTAATAGATCAAAATCCAGCCTGCTTGATCCCTCCCCCTCCCCGCCAAACTGTCTGTATTTCTGGATATATCTTTCAAGCCATGATTCCTGCCTCGCAGTCTGTTTATAATGTATTTGTCTGATTATTTGAAAAATACGTATTTTATTGACTGCATCACAAAAGCTATCTGTCAATGTGCAGATTCTGGAAGATAAAAGGTAGGAACAGGAGGAAATCTGCATATAGATCTGTGGATTCCATAGAGACTTTACTCTCAGCAACTAAAACTAATCACAGTTAGCTTAAAGATCATTCAATCTATTTCATTTATGTCATCTTTCTCCCAGAATGAGAACCAAGATGATTCACAAAACCCATTATTGTGGGATTTCCTGTGTGCTTAAAAGCATTTGTTTACCTCATGAACTGCAAGGTTTGTAACTAATTTAGGGACATATTAAATTAAATTATTGAAGAGAATATATGCTGCAATCCCTATATAGCAGCACCCTGGCTACAGAATGCTATCACCCCAAAGAACTGACAATATTTTATGCATCAAAGCAAATGTGCCTTTGTATAGATTTTAATACATACAAGCTTTTAGAACAGCTGTAAATTTTAAGTATTTCACCTATTGTTTAATTGCCAAGGCTTGTTTTGAAAAATAACTTGCACATTGCCATGAAATCTTGAATAGAAGGCATAGAGTGATCAATATTTTAAATAAAATAAATACAATATTTGCCATGAATGGAAAAATCCCAAGTCCGTTGAAGTATCATTCCAAATTTTCTCCACAAATCCTAGACTGACACTAATTTTGGAAGAGACTCTTTGCCCATTGATGGCACCTTTCCTGGCATGGAAATTATTGTGACTTTGTCTAAAGGATGTGTGTTTAAGAAGAATTGCTTCCTCTGTAAATCCAGGAAATATTAGAAGACTATGTTGGCAAATCAAGGATTTTACTTTATAGAAAAAACAGATGCTGAACACAATGAGCTTAGAACTCATACACCCCATTAAGGCATCTTAAAAGCTGTCAGACAACACATATATTGTGTATGCATCAGGATTATTTTCACCCAACCCATTTTTATTGCAGAATTCTAGTTATCTTTCCAGGCCAGGCAACTAAATTGGTCTTCTAAAGACACCTTCCATGTCAGAAAGCCCTTCATACTTATATGTCAGGGAGAAATTAAATATACTTGGTGTAACCTTCACTGTGTCAGCTTGTTTTTCTGGAAGAAAGTCTCTAAAACTAAGGTTTTTAAGTTAGTCCTAGTGAAGCCATATTAGCCCTTCTCCTTCTAGATTCAATCTGGCTTCGGGCCAGGGATGGAAATAGCTTTGGTTACCTTGGTGAATGATCTACGCAGAGAGCTGGATAGGGGGAGTGTGACCCTGCTGGCCCTCCTGGACCTCTCAGCTGCTTTCAATACCATAGACCATGGTATTCTTCTGGAGCGACTTACGAGAATGGGACTGAGGCACTGGGTTACAGTGGTTCCCATCTTTCCTTGTGGGCTGCCCCCAGGTTTGCAGTTTGGGGGTGATTCTGGATTTTGCCTTAAATCTTGAAGCCCAGATGGTGAGCAGAACTGCCTTTGCACAACTAAAACTTGTGCACCAGCTGTGCTAATTCCTGGAGAAATCTGACCTGGCCACTGTGGTACATGAACTGTTTACATTCCGTTTGGCCTACTGTAATGCACTCTATGTGGGACTGCCCTTGAAAAGTGTTCAGAAACTCCAATTTGTCCAGAGAACAGCAACCAGGTTACTTACTAGAGCTGATTCCAGGGAGCACACCACTCCCCTGTTGAAACAGCTCATTTGGCTCCCGACTTGTTTCCAGGCACAATTCGAGGTGCTGGTTTTAACCTATAAAATCCTACACAACTTCAGACAAGATTACTTGAGACTCCATGTACCCCTAGAGGTTGGGTAGACCTCTAAGGTCTAGTAAGGAAACCCTTATTTCAACATAGTCCCTGGTCAACATGTGGAACTTCCTGCTGAAAGAAATTAGATTGGCTTCCACCCACATGACATTTAGAAAAGGTGTGAAGACTTTCCTCTTTGAAGCAGCTTTTAACTGACAGCAGGCACTTACGGATAAAGGAGAATGGGGAAATTTGGATTGACTTTAACTTTTAATGTTTAATAAAACAGATGTTTTTAAGGATTATTGAACATCTAATACTTGTTTAGTTACTTTTTAAATCATTTGTATGTGTGTTTAAAATATGATGTGAGCTACCTTGGGTCTGTCCTGGAGAAAGGCGGCATAAAAATCTCCATAATAAATAAAAATAATAATTATTCCAATGTGAGAATGGTATTGTACATTTTTAATTGGCCAATTTACCATGTTAAAATAAACCCAAAACTGCATGGCCCAATGTGCATTACTTATGTGTGGAAGCAACTGTTGGACGAGACAATAGCAGACAGCAACTATGTATTCACCTTGTGGAGGAGTGAGGGGCTTTCCATGCTCCTGACACCAACCAACTGGGTGGATATAGGGGCTGCTGGAGTCACACCTGTCATGGAAATACAATGGTTTTATAAAGCAATGAAGGCAAAACATTATTTTAACCGAATGATAAGTAACCACACTCCATTGCTTAAATTATTAATGTCTGGTGCTTACAATTCCTGAAACTCTCCTGAAATTTCTTCAACTTTCTCCTACACATGTAACACTCCCAAATTAGTCTTTGATTTTCCTCTCAATAGAGCTCAGTGGCTGTCAATACTAGACTTGTTAACATTGTTCACCTGAAAGAAATCCTCACCTACCAGTAGTCATATGTGTCATCCCAGTTGTCAAAGTGCACCAAAAAGCGATTGTCCACCACGTCTGTCACTGTGGCAACACATATCAAAGAAGGGTTCATGCGGTCCACCGCTTCAAGTTTCATGCCCATTTGGAATCCTGTGGGAGCAGCATTCTAAGGATACACAGAAAGATTCAGATGTGTTTTTGACATGGACCATGCAGTTGAATCCCATCCAGAAACTGATGCACAGCAAACCAAAGTGTAAGAGTGACATGTAAATAATTCAAATAGGTGGGTAGAACCAATCATGCAAGTCCCTCCGATGCAAACTGGCAGTCTGCTGGAAAGTAGGACTGAGACTGTATGGGAAAACCTTGTATATATGTGTGTTTATACTATTAACACAACAAAACCTTACAGTATTGGAGGGCATAAGGGAAATAGTGTATATGCATGTTTGTGTGATTATGCTGCAAGCAATCCTGCCTTTCTTTCACACTGATTCACAAACTATGGAAAGTCAAGTGTTAGCAGTCTTCATTTCCTCTATGCAATTCAAGACCCAAGCAGAACTGAAGCCATCTTGTAAGCAATGCTTTTCAAATTACCCTTGGAAGTCAACAAGTAAGGAATGACAGGGTCAGTAATTTCATCCCATGGTCTTATCACAAATGTCACAATAAATCTGGTATGGGCACAAACAGTGTTTGTGATGTCGGTGGATTTGCAGTTGGTAGATTCATTGAAAATACTCCCCATGGTTTTGGAAAGATCACCTTGATTTCTAAAGACCTTCAAAAATGGTCAAACTATCCCAAACTTTTTCTCAGCATAGCTAAAAATGATTAGCATTTGATAATCTTGCTAGACACTCACACTATCCGGGGTCACAAAGAGATGCTTGGGAGCTGCCTGAGCTTTTGTTATCTTCAGGTAGTTGGCCCAGTTGAATTCATCTTCTTTATAACCTAAAGCTCCTCAGGAATAGGAGAGATTGGAGGAGAGGCATTAATGGAGGTTCATATGTTCCTCTTAACCAAAGCAGAAATCACACTGATTTAAAATTATCATTCTTAGGGTATTTTCAGAATATTGGCTTTCCCTTTGAAGAGTATTCACAGAGATAATAATGTCAGTCCATTTTAAGCACATAAAAGTCCCGCAGCACCTTCGAAACTGACTGCTAAAAAGAAATTTCTAGTATATCTTTTCATGAACACAGTTCACTTCATCACATACTTAGAGCAAACCCTCTCATGTCTACAGAAGACTCACTGCATGTATATCATAAAATGGACTGTATCCATGAAAGTTTATGCTAGAAATTTATTCTTCCCAATCTGTCTCAAACGTGCTGTCAGATTCATTTTAACCCCCCAAAACCTGTTACACATGGCTTCAACCCATATATTGCCATGTCACCAGCTCAGAGTTTGTAAATGTTACTTTTGGACTATAAGCCTCAGACATTACCACCAAGCATGCAGTGGCCATACCAATTTGGGAATTCTGGGAGCAGTAGTAAAAAAAAAAAACCCTCCCAGAGCTTTTTCTCCAACTCTAGCATCTTCACATCTGTGGAGTGCTGCATTTTCTTGTCATCTCAAGAATGCCCCCATATATGATGCTTGCAAATGCATTGTCCAAGTCAACCTACCTTTGGGAGGCTGGAGTTTGTGTCCTGTTTTCTCAAACCACCCAGAAGGATGAATGTTAGGTGAATTAGCATTCAGCCAGAAATCATGACATTCAGAGTAGCCATCAAAATGGAGGCGCATTCTGTAACCGCATACCTGTGTGCAGGAAAAACAAAAGGAAGTCACATCCTATTTTAATGAATGACTGGTTTTGCTATGCACCTCCTTGGATAGATATCCCAACCTTTTGGAAGTTTCTAAACCAGGCTGATTTGTCAAAATTCTGCCAGGCAAGAGCCAACCAAGTTTTCTTTCCTATGCAAGTAGGTAGGAATTAGGTAAACTACATTGGATACCTTTCCTAATTTACCAAAAGTTGTTAAACTACATTTGATAAATTGTCCCAGTTTTTTAATCTACAATTTCTGGAGTTTACATTTTATGGAAAAATATATCCCTTCTCAGCAACAGCAACATTCACAGGCAACACTTTTCGGATAAAAAAAGATGCAGTGGGTTTAGGATTGAAATCCTATTATTAATCCTCATTAGAATCAACAGAACTTATATCAGTGTTATCTTCTAAGTTATCATTTAAAGGATACCGTGGATATAGGGCCTGCATCAATAGGAGCATAGTGTCTAGATCCAGGGAAGTAATGCTACCCTCTATTCTGCTTTGGTTAGACCACATCTGGAATATTGTGTCCAATTCTGGGCACCACAATTCAAGAGAGATATTGACACAAGCTGGAATGTGTCCAGAAGAGGGCGACTAAAATGATCAAGGGTCTGGAGAACAAGCCCTATGAGGAGCGGCTTAAGGAGCTGGGCATGTTTAGCCTGAAGAAGAGAAGGCTGAGAGGAGATTATAGCCATGTATAAATATGTGAGAGGAAGCCACAGGGAGGAGGGAGCAAGCTTGTTTTCTGCTTCCTTGGAGACTAGGACGCGGAACAATGGCTTCAAACTACAAGAGAGGAGATTCCATCTGAACATTAGGGAGAACTTCCTGACTGTGAGAGCCGTTCAGCAGTGGAACTCTCTGCCCCGTAGTGTGGTGGAGGCTCCTTCTTTGGAAGCTTTTAAGCAGAGGCTGGATGGCCATTTGTCAGGGGTGATTTGAATGCAATATTCCTGCTTCTTGGCAGGGGGTTGGACTGGATGGCCCATGAGGTCTCTTCCAACTCTTTGATTTTATGATTCTATGATTCTATGAAACCACAGAACTTATGTCAGTGTTCACTTCTAGGTTTTTCATAGCCTTATGGGTTCTCTTTGAGTCAGCTTGAGAGGCAATGAAAGGAAGCATCTGAAAAGACAACGCTTATTCGCATGCATGCGTCAGTATCATGGAGTCATTCAGTGCCACAATTTAAATAGACAATGATGAGAGGTTCTCAATGACTATTGATTTCTTAAAATGATGGTTATTCTTCATTATTTTTGAAATGCTTTGGGGGAGGGGATATCCTGTGAAAATAGATTATAGAGCTTGTTGGAACCTGCTGCCAATGCTTACTCTAGAGCGAATCCTATTTTGGAATATGTCTATATAAATTGTGTGTCTATATTGTGCTGAAATAACAAAGAAGAAGGCCACTTATATATGAGGTGGGTTCAAAAAGTATCCAACCATAATTTTTGTGCATAAACAAATGAAGTTAGAAAGGTGTGGTTTGGTGCAATCCTAATGCTCATGTTTGATTTTTTTTTCTGCCTGCAGAAGCTGTCGACGGCAGACAGCTGATAAGTGAGGAAGTGTAAGTGAACGCTGTCTCATTTTCATTTTTCACAAAATGACAGAAAAATGTGAACAACGCTACTGCAATAAATTTTGTGTAAAGCTTGGCGATTTTTAAGTGGAAACAATTCGCAAAATTCAATAGGCCTTTGGTGATGAAGCAATGGGCACCACGCAGATAAAGGAGTGGCACAGCCACTTCAAATATGGCAGTACATCAGCGGAGAGTGAAGCATGTTTTAGTAGGCCTTCAACATCTAGAAATGAGATCCTCATTGACTAAGTGAGGCCCTTGGTGATGCCCATTCATTGAATCACAATCAGAGAACTTGCAGATGAGGCAAGCAGCAGCACTGGATCCATGTATTCCATTTTGACTGAGGATCTGGGCTTCAGGAGAATCCCAGAAAAGGTTGTGCCAAAGCTGCTAATGATCGAGCAGAAGCAGCATCATTTGGAGATTGCACAGAACATGCTGCAGACTGTGAACAGTAATCCCAACTTCCTCAACACAGTATCACTGAAGATGAGTCCTGGGTTTACAGGTATGACAAGTTGCAGTCATCACAATGGAAGCATCCAACATCCTTGAGGTCAAAAAAGTAAAACAGGTCCACAGCAATGTCAAAATCATGTTGACGTTCTTCTTTGACTTCAGTGGCATGGTTCATCATGAGTACGCACCACACAGCACACGCAGCCCAATGGGACTACTTTGAGGGAGATTAGTGTAAGATTATTGTATCTCAATACACATATATTTTTTTATGAATAAAGGTTGGATACTTTTTGCACACACTTCGTAAAGTTGTCTTAATTTTTGATGTGCTATATTTTGAACCTGTTGAGGATGCTCTATCTGGAAATCCTGCACTGATGGCCCATAGGACCCCTTCTAACTCTATGATTCTATGCTGTTCAGAATTTGCTGTTAGATCTTTTTACTGCATTTTTTGTTTTATTGACGATTCTGGACAATCCCATCACCCTGTCTCATTCACAGAATTATGCAAGCAGTCCAGATGAAGTCATCTATTGTAACTCCCCACGTTTCCCCCTGACTTCTTCTATCTCTTCTCCTTACCACAAACATCCATCAACCAATCAATCAATCAACAATGATATAAAATACTTTTACTGAAAGTAGTAAGTCCCTGGGAGCTGATGTCCTCTCCTGCCCCTTTCATTGTTATTTTCATCAGAGTTATGCACTGTTCTGAAAACTGGTAAAAGTTGAAGTACAACAAAATAAAAGTGTACAAATTAATCTCACCTCAGCCACTGTGAGAATAAAGTACATGGAGGGATGCTGAGGATCGATCCCTTCTAGTTTCATCCCCACCTTGAAACCATTCTTGTCGTGACCAACCAACTGGTGCTGAATGGATTGAACCATGAGAAAAAAATAAGAATACATCATCACCATAACTGACATCTATGTTTTTCATAATTCTCAATGCTGTGGGAACACCATGAGATAATGGTGACAAAAGGTGAACTCTATTAGGTGTTTCCAGAAAAAGATTACAGAGAGACCTCTGGGACACAAAGAATAAAACTGTGTAGGCACACAGAAATGGAGAAACAATGTAATTCCAACAAACAAGGACTGGTTGTTGAAACTGTCTGACCTAGCCAAAAGGGACAAATTATCAACACTGATTAGAGAGAAGTCAGTCGAGACATTTTCAATAGACTGGGAACTATTTTTCATCTATAATCAAGGCGGATTACAAATCTGGCAAAAATTCTGCTGCACAGGTGACAATAAAACCTTGTCCATCGGACGCTGAGCACGCTGGGGTGGGTGGGGGCGAGTGTGATTGGAAATTCAGAAATGCGTACGGTGCGATGACGGGGTCACGGGGGCGAAGGAAGGGGGGCATCGGTTGCTCCCTGCTTTACGATTCAGAAGGTAAGAAAAGAGGAAGGAAAAAAGGAGAGGAGGGAGGGAAGGGGGAGGAGGAAGGGGAGGAAGAGGAAGAGAGAGGAAAAGGAGAAAGGGAGGAGAGAGATAAGAGAGGAGGAAAGAGGGGGAGGAGAGGGAAGAGAAGAGAGAGGAGGAGGGGAAAGAGGGGGAGGAAAAGAGAGGGGGAGGAGGGAGGAGAAGGAAAGGAGAGGAGGAGAAGGAGGAGGTGGGGAGAAGAGAGAGAAGGGAGGAGAAAGAGGAGGAGAGGAGAGAAAGGAAGGAGGGAGAAGGGAAGGAAGGAGAAGGAGGAGAGGGAGGAGTGGGAGAGAGGATGGATGGAAGGAAGAGAGAAGGGGAGAGAGGGAGGAGGTGGAAAGGAGGAAGAGAAAGGGAGAAGAGAGGAGAGAGAAAGAGGGGAGAAGAGGAGTTATTGAGTCTTCGTTGCGTGGTTTGCCGCCACGGTAGAGGAGAGAGGGATAGAGAGGAAGAGAGGGGGATAGAAGGAGGGATAGAGGGGGGAGAGGAGAGAGAGAGGGGAAGAGGAAGAGAGAAAGGGAGGGGGAGGGAGGAGGGAGAAGGGAGAGGAGAGAGGAGAAGGAGAGAGGAGGAAGAGGGAAGAGAAGGAGAAGGAAGGGGGAGGAGAGGAGAGGAGAGAGAGGGGGGGAGGGAAGGGAGGGGGAAGGGAGGAGAGAGGGGGAGAGGAGGGAGGAGGGGGGAAGGGAGGAAGAGGAGAAGAAAAGGGGGGAGGGGGGGGGAGGGGAGGAGGAGGCGGGGGAGGGAGGAAGAGGAGA